ATTTCGGCTCACTTAACGTAATTGATTTTTTAAAACCCGTGTTACGGAGCAGGATGTGTTTTATTATGAAGTTTTTTTGAAGCAAATATGATAACCTTTTTGGTGCATTACTCTGATTTAATTAGTGAACTATTTTGTGAATATTCCTTTGAGTTTAGAAGGGTGTTATAACACTTCTCTCAGAGCATCTTCTAGAGAGGATTGGTATTTTGATAGTGATTGTTCTAGACACATGACAGGTATTAAGAAATTTTTAGTAGATATTAAACCACACTTCACTAGCTATGTCACTTTTGGAGACGGGTCAAAAGGAGAAATAAAAGGTGTTCGAAAGATAGACTATATCGGTCAACCAAGTATGGATGATATGCTGTTTGTCAAGGGATTGAGTGCTAACTTGATCAACATTAGTCAACTATGTGACCAAGGTCTCAAAGTTAACTTCACTGAGTCTGAGTGTCTGGTTACAAATGTGAAGAATGAAGTTATTATGAAGGGAGAAAGGTCAAAATACAATTGCTATCTGTGGAACCCTGGAGAAATAGATTGTTTATCATCTTGTCGAATGTCCCTTGAAGATGAAGCTAAACTATGGCATTAAAAACTTGGTCAACTGCACTTGAAAAGTATGAAGAAAATCATGTTAAAGGAAGCTGTTAGAGGTATTCCCAAGTTAAATATTGATGAAGGAACAATATGTGGTGAGTGTTAGATTAGGAAGCAAACAAGGATGTCTCATAAGAAGATTCAACATCTAACCACATCAAGGGTACTAGAGTTGTTGCATATGGACTTAATGGGATCTATGCAGGTTAAAAGTCTAGGAGGAAAAAGGTATAGATATGTTGTTGTTAATGAATTCTCAAAGTTCACCTGGGTGAGCTTCATCAAAGAGAAATCTGAAGTGTTTGAAGTTTTTAAAGAATTATGCCAGAGGATCCAAAGAGAGAAAGATTTTGGTATGGTCAGAATTCGAAGTGACCATGGGAGAGAATTGGAAAACAACAAGTTTGGGGAATTTTGTACCTCTGAAGGGATTAGTCATGAGTTCTCTTCAACTATCACTCCTCAACAGAATGGGGTGGTGGAACGCATGAATAGGACTATTCAAGAATGTGCAAGGGTCATGCTTCATGCAAAAAAACTTATTTATCATTTTTGGGTTGAAGCCATGAACACCGCCTGTTATATTCATAATAGAGTGACTATCAGATCTGGTACATATGTTACCCTTTATGATTTGTGGAAAGGAAGAAAGCCAACCGTAAAATATTTCCATGTTTTTGGGAGAAAGTGCTTCATTTTGGCAGATCGTGAGTAGAGGAGGAAGATGGATCCCAAGAGTGATTAGGGAATTTTTCTGGGATACTCTACAAACAATAGAGCCTATAGAGTATTCAATTCCATAACTAAGGTGGTGATGGAATCTATAAATGTTGTAGTTGATGACTCAACTAAAGAAGTTGATGTCTTAGATGATGTTGGAACATTTTTCCGATGGATAGCTATGTTCCTGAAGATACTACAAATTCAAGTGTCAATGTTGAAACTGAGGATGTTGCAAACTCAAGTATTAATTCTGAAATTGAAGATGTTGCAGAAGTTGAAGAAACTGAAGCAGCTAACAAAGGTCCATATATTATAATTCAGAAAGATCACCCTAAGTAACTTATCATAGGAAGTCTTAATGAAGGAGTAAAAACCATATCAAGGAAAGTTATGTCAAACTCTTGCTTTGTTTCAAAATTTGAACCAAAGAACATCAAAGAAGTCTTGACTGATGAAATATGGATCTAGGCTATGCAATATGAACTTAGTGTGCTTTGGTTGTTTTAGCCAAAATTTGTCAAAGAGGAAGATTGTTAGACCTATGGTTTTAGGATTGGCAACAGTTTTTTCTAAAATGTGGTTCTTATCTTATGTTGAGCAATATGTTACAACATCTTGATCATCTGTCATGACAAGTTCTGTTGTCATGTGTTTCAGACAAATGTTGAGTCAAATATCTTGACATCATGTCCTATTGTATAGCAGGTGCTACTGTTATTTTTCCTTGAAGATTTGATTGAAAAATATGAGATTCTGGTACCCATACAGCCGCAACTAATTAAGGATATTTTATGAACAAGTGAAGATTTGATTTTATTTCATGAAAAGGATCTTTGAGACTTTTTAAGAAACTTTGAAGATTTGTTCCTATTTTTGTATGAAGATCTTGCAACTGATTTAAAAAAATGAAGATTGGATTTAATTGAAGAGTCCAACCCCATACAGCAAGAGTTTATAAATAAGGACTTGCTAAACCTAAAATAGCAAGCATTCACAATAAGAAAACAATGGGTAAAACATAAGAGTTTTGGGTTTTGGGAGTCTTTTAAGTTCTTTGTGTTTTTGTTCTTTGTATGTCACTCATGTATCTTCTGATACATTGAGGTTGACTGATTATTCTTAGTTGAAGCTTTTAAGAAAAGCTAAGTATTGTTCTCACTCATGGGCTTTTAAGCAAAAGAGTTGAGTATTGTATTTGAAGTGTAATCTTATATTTGATTGTTTTGTTCTAGTCACTGGTTTGTGACTGTAGTTATCACTGAGGTGATTAGAAGTGAGAGAGGGATCTCATATCTAGAGGATTCTAGATAGAAGTTTCACAAGGTAAGGATTAGGTGATAAGTTGTAAACTAGGGTTGGTTTAGCTTTGAACTAATACTATCATAGTGAATATCCTTCCTAGCTTGATAGCTCCTAGAGTAGGTGACGTTGCACCGAATTGGGTTAACAATTGATTGTGTTGTTTATTCTTCAACAATTTATTTTTATGCATAATTCATCTTCTCAAAGTTGTTGTATCAAAAACAGATGTTCTAACATTTGTCTTGATATTGTGTTGGTGTTGGGACATCAGTCTTGACATCTGTATTGCAAGTGCCAGAATTTCAAATGCAATCACTTTAGTGGGGGCCAATGCTTCAACCCATTAGCAAGCACTTAAATCACCCCAACATACCTAGTATTCTTATTTTCCACCAATATCATCTGCATACTAGAGGTGAGAAACAACAAAGTCTTGTTCATAATTTAAAACCAAAGAAATCTCATATCAGAGATGCACGTATCAGAGTTGCACTAAGGACCTCCACTACCGAAAGAAATAGGGATTAAACTAGGGGATCCCCTTACTTAAGGGCTCTATGAATATTAATCTCATTAACCGGTCACCCATTAACCACAATGGAACCCCCTCCCTGTCCGCCTCCCCTCCCCTCTCGAGAAAATGCAAGTTTTAATCCACGTTCAACACTAGCATCCAAATGTCCTCATCAAATACTCTAGGAAGGACAAACTAACATAAACATATGCCTTCTCAAAATATGATCTAAATGATCAAAAAGTCGTTCTTCAAACTCTCGGCTAAATAGATAATCTCATTAAGAGTCACCACCTCGTTCATAAGTCGCCTTTAAGAAAAGGAGATTGATTTGACGAGTTAAATTTGTCCATGACAAGCGCTAACTTAACCACCAACTTTTAAAGAGACTAAAAAAAGGAGATGGGCCTAAACTTCCCTGAAAAACATAGGAGAATAAACTTTTGAAATTAGCGTCACAAAGAAAACAAACTTATAGAAAAAGTGACATTTACGAATAATGGAACAAACTTGACGTAAATCTTCTTCTTGAACATTTCATCTGAGATTGACCTTAAGACTTAATGTTGTGAATATGAGTTTTATGTAGCATTTATTACTTTATTTACAAATAAAAATAACTGAATAATACTTCAAGTATACTTTACTTTTTAATTTAAAAGAAACTTCAAAAACCTAATTAATAAATTTTGCATATTTTTACATTACAATTTTTCATTTTATATTTATAATTTAGAAAATCACCAATATTTCATACTATTAATTTTACAAAATCATAGTTCTATTAAATTTTAGTTTCTTTTTATTTGATATGAAATGATAACATTATAACACTTTTATAATGAGATGGCAGGGTAATAAATAGATATAGATCAACTTTGAATTGAGATCTTCAAAAGTAACAATAATGTGACATAAAACTAACAACAATAAAGTCCATACTAAATGCTTCCATTATTAGATTTTTGTATACAGTAAAAGCCATTCAATTATCGCTCACACACACTCTATTTTTACTTTGTCTAGAGGAAGGTAGGAAAACTACACTTTAGACATAGAAATCAAGTCAATTTAAAACAAATATGAACATTTGATGTTGAAAAGCTATCATAGATCTCTTTTCCTCAAAAAGAGTACCTAATTTGCTTTCACAAATTGAAATTACATACACATTTCTAGGAAAAGTCTTAAATCATCAACTTTAGAAGCCATGCGCTACTTGAAAATTAACATGTTCTAATGAGCATGCTTATTATGCTAATAGGGAGTAAAATCAATGGCTTTTGACTAGGGTTTTAATTTTATGAAATAATTTTATATTTAAGTGACTCACACTTACATTTTCAACAATATCACAACGGTTTTTGAGAGTGAGTCTATAACACAAGCTATCATCCAAGACTCAAAATTTATTACGATTAAAAATATTTCTCATAGAAAAATCATAATTAAATAGAGTCTATTTTTATATTATCATAGTTAATCTGAAGTTAATTTTCACAATATTTCTAAAAACTTAAAACAGCTTTGAACAACATTTTAGATATTATTTATTAATTAAATTCACTCAAAATTCAATAAAATATCAAAATACTTTCGACGCTAAAGTTTATATACGATTTGAATCATTTACTATCATGCATAGAATAAATCCAACCTCATTATCTAATAATCGAGAAATTAAATTAAATTTCTTGTTATTTGACTAATTCAACCCGTATAATTTAACAAGATTAATCGTAGAACTGCAGAGAATTCAGATACAATGTCTAAGAATTTTTTTTCTATTAATACTTAAATATACCTTACACTTTTGATTGATTATAACTATAAGCTTAATGACTAGAAAGCTTTATCAAAACATTGGTGAATGAGAAGGAGAAGAATTAACTAAATTAAGAATACTATTCCAATAGTTATTGTTATCTTCATAGAATTCACTTCCACTTCCACTTCCACCATTGTTAGATTCTCCACCACTTTCTGACAAACTCAAATCCTCAGAATTTGTTTTAAGCAAAAGATTAGTAAACCCTTCTTCAGCAATAACATCACCAACACCTTGATCCATTGACATAGTTAACTCATGATGAAGATTTGATGTAAAACTTTCATAACTTTTCCAATTTTCTTGATCATCACCACCTTCTTCTTTCACAATTGAACTTGAATTTGTTCCTACAAACTCAATCATAGACACAACAACATTGTTCTCATCATCATTAACATCAATATTATTATTATTATTTTTCTCATTATCATTCTTGTTTTTTTCTCCTCCAATTCCTTCACTACTCATAATAATAGGAGGAACATTCTCATTATAAGATAAAGTTGAAGTAGGAGATTCAAGATTAATATTCCAAGCCTTCAAATGATTATGATTATGATTATTATGAAGAAGTGAATTGTGTGAACGAATTTTGGATTCTCTAACAAGTCTAGCTTCAGCTTCAAGACGAGCACTTTCCCATTGAGCCATGTGACTAAGATTTGAAGCTGTTTTTGAATGAACATTATCACTTGATGAAAGAAGTGCATCATTTTTAGGTTTGTGAGTAACTGGATCAATTCCCATTTTTGTTAACCTTTTTTTCAGATGTGTGTTCCAATAATTCTTTATCTCATTATCTGTTCTCTTTGACAAATGTGTAGCTATAGCTGACCACCTAATTTTCCAACAAAATAATACAAACACAACACAAAATGTCAATCATTATTAATTAATTAATTAACCAACAATAATATTCATCAACTATATACTAAAACATATTTTTTTTCAATACTAAATATTCACTTTGAAAAAACTTGGATGTCAGAGAGTAATAAATTTAAGAAAATGGCAGAGTATGGTGTGAATTATTTGTTGGAGATGGGTTGGAATAGTTAAGTGAAGAAATTGAGGGGACATTGCATTTAAGACATACCTCACAACAAGGGAATTATAAGAACAAAAAAGAAAAAAGAAAATTATAGCTCCAACATATTAATAGTGACATCTTTTATTTTATTTTGCTATTATTTGATATTTAAAAAAAAAGTTTTAAAAAAAAACTAGAAGGGAAAATTATGTCTTAATGTTCACATTTTCTTGAAAATCAAATCAATGTGCTTAAAAGAAAATGAATAAAAAATGAATAAAATCATTTGAAGAAAAATGAGTATAGGAATACTAATTAAGAGACTCAAACTTATAGAAATTAATTAATTAATGATGAAAACACAATAAGGAAATATACCAAACCTGTTCCCTAAGAGAGCATGAAGTTGAATAATTGTTTGTTCTTCTTGCAAACTAAATTTTCCTCTCTTAATATCAGGTCTAAGATAATTGGTCCATCTTAATCTGCAGCTCTTCCCACATCTTTGAAGACCTATTTATAATTATTAACAAAAACATTAATTAATTTTCCAACAATTAAAAAAAAAACATGTACTAAATTAAACATGTTTAATATTCATATAATATCTATTATATTGAATATATCTATTATCCTTAATATTTGATGTATCTGATTCAAAATATAGATCAGATACATTAATTACGAAAATTGAAAATGTAAAGACATTGTTTTACCAGCTTTAGCTGGCAAAGCGCGCCAACTTCCATGGCCGTGTTCTTCGATATATGCTAAGAGTTTTTGATCTTCTTCTGGAGTCCATGGACCTTTCTTTAAACCAACTTTGTCACAACATGGTGAACGTCCCATAATTTGTAAGATGAACGCTAATTATTGAAGAGTTTTTGAACGTAGTTATATAGAGCACAAAGAAAGAAGAGAAGAGAAGGTTAAAGAGGTAACCTATGGTGAGATAGAAAATATTGAGAGAAGGACATATGAATTTTAAATAAAGAGATGGACAGAGAAGAAAGGTCAGCGGTATAAATGGAATTAATCTTGTTATTACAATAATACCCTTTACCTTCAAGTGAAATTATTTATGGTGTATTTCATTTTCTTTATATATGGGAGATTGATTTTGAATAATAGAGATTGTTTGAAGTTGATATTTGATGATGATTTAATATGATATATGATGATAATTTACACATGTTTCAAATAACTATAAATAAGTATAATCATTCAATTTTGTAATATTACAAAATAATGGTAGAGACTGTATTTTAAAATCCTAAATTTGTATTTAATAGGTTTTTAAATGGTAAATGGGATTTGATATAATAAACCGAAATAAAATTCATATATAAGATATATAAGATACAAGTACTACTATAAATGCGTAAACAACAACGTCATAGTCGCTACGGTTCTTCTCTACATCATGGTGACATCTCTAAACTAACGTGTTTCCATATTATTTTTATTTTGTAATTTAAAATTAATTATATATAATAACAGTTGATGAGCCAACCGTGATGAAATAGTCAAGTTGTCATGGGTTCGAATCTTAGCGTCATCATATATATTATTCCATTAATATTAAGGGGCGCCTTTTCTTTTTTATTTATTTTTAAATAAAAAAACTTAAAGGGACTACAGTTAGTTCGTTTCACCGTTGTGATTTTATTTAATTTGTTTTTATATTTAAAAAATTTATTTGTAAATTAAACTTTGACGCTTCTTTATGAAATTTCATATGAAAGTAATATATCATAACAGTTTCTGGGTGTGGCTGTGGTGGTATCCTTATAATATTATACACTTCTAGTTAATTTGTCTCTTCAGTATCTTTTTGTCCATTGAAAAAAGAAACTACACGAAACAATACACGTTCAATCATAAACCCTAACGTTCATACTGTGAAACAATTAATACACCATCGTTCACCCTAGCTTGTCTCTTCAGTGTCCATTTTTCACTATTTATTCATCATTTTTGTCATCATCGTCAAGAAGGTTGAAACGACCATCACGATCGTCATCATCGTCAAGAAGGAAGAGTACAACAACATCGTCGAGAAGGAAGACAACAACAACATCGTTGTTGCCGTAATGAAGGAAGAAGGAAGACGACAACAACATCAACACCAACATCATTTACTTAGTCATCACGTTTAGGGTACGTAAACTTTTTTCTCCATGCATCTACAGTAAACTTAATTTTCCATTATTGTTGTTTATGTTTTTGATGTTCATGTTGTTGTTGTTGTTGTTGATTTTGAACATAGATGTCGCAAAGAGAAGAGATGTTACAAAGAAAAAAATGTCACAAAGAAAAAAGATGTCACATAGATAAGAAACCCTATCGATTTCTTCATCAGATTGTAGCGAAGAAACTAAAACAAATGAGTGTTGTGCGAATGAAACTCAAATAGATGATACTTAACCAAAAAGATCACAAAGAGGTGTCACAATGATGCCTCAATTCACATCAGACAACAACTCATCATCATGTGAAAAAACTATGATCGAGTTTGATTCGTACTATAAAGTAGTTGATTGTGAATACTACTCTACTTTTAAGAGTTATGTTGCATTCCTTGGACCGAATAAAAGTAAGTATATTGATAGATAATTGGAAAAAAGTGGATGCAAAAGTCAAAAAAAGCATATGGACAGACGTTAAGGTATTACATAGTATAATTTTCATATATTAGATATCACTACCTATAATTTCTAATACATTGATTTAAATGTAGTTGAATTTTGAGTTTACTGATGACTCAAAGTTGCAAAAAAAAACGGATCTCTTATGCCGATACTCGTTGAAGGGGATTTAAGTCACAGCTCACGGCTGACTATACTAGGAAGCCTAAGAGCGGTCTTGATCTTCCATGGAAAAGATATAGTTTTATATCAAAAAAGCAATGGAAGAAGTTTGCGAAGATATGTCGTTCTGAGGAGTTCAAGGTTAGTACTCGTCTTATTTAACCAATAATGTTATGCTAATGAGTTATAAATACTAATCAATATATATATATATATATATATATATATATATATATATATATATATATATATATATATATATATATATATATATATATATATATATATATATATATATATATATATATATATATATATATATATATATATATATATATATATATATATATATATATATATATATATATATATATATATTATTCACTATGTTAATAACAGCTTAAAAGTGAAGTAGGAATACGAAACAAGGAAAAGAAAATGTACACCCATAGATTGTCTCGTGGGGGTTACAGAAAACTTGAGAAAATAATAATGCTTAAAAAAATAACCACAAATAGGAGATAATCGCATCCCATCCCCACCGTCGAGACATGAAAAATGGAAGAGGGTTCGATTAAGACCAAATGGAGAGTACACCTCTGAGGAAACAAGAGTAGTTACCGAGAAAACTGTAAGTATGATTTGTTTTTTATGTTATTTGTTATTTAAATGTGTTGGTAACAATATATGTAAGTTATTCATGTTGTGTAGGATAATTTGGTTGAGGCGGCTCGTGAAGGCGTGTTTGTTCCAAAAGCACGACATGACATATTAGTAGAAGCAATCGGAACAGAGGAGCGTGGTGGGCGTGTCCGTGGTGTTGGAAAAGGTGTTGGCTTGAGGTTATTCTTTGTGTCTCAAAGAAAAAGTACCAAAAGCTCGGAATTAATGGACAAAAAAAAATTGAGAATGTTGAGAAGTAATTAGAAGAACAAAACAGGTTGTTTGAAGAGGAGATTGAAAAAAGGGAGAAAGATGTGAAAAGGTTTCAAGAGTTATATTTGGTATGTGCTTTACTTGAGGTTTTAGTGTTTTTATTGAAAATGAATGATATCTATTGTGATTATTTTTGTTCTAAATAAATATTATGATGTAGAGATTAAGTGAAAATATCGAACAACGTATAAACGAAGATCAATGTTATGTTGATGGTGATAATGACCATGATCATGACCAAACTCCAAGTAGAAATGTTGTACGTCGTGCTTCTACAAAAGGAAGTAATTGTTCAGACCCCCCCCCCCCCCCCCTCTCTCCTTTAGCTAACTGCAATAAGTTGTTATTGGACCCTATTACATTGTCCATATGTGGGTTTATTCTATTACAATCCTGAAGATGTAAGAGATTTTATCGGTGGATATAAGTGTATGGACGTAGGGATATTGTAAGTTTGGTGCACGTAAGTATATAGTTGAATATACACATTATCATTTTTTGTATTTCCTCAATTAATTTATTCATTTTCTTTAACCATTTAGGTACATTTATCGTGTTTATATAGAGTTAAATAAATCGAGTATTTATGGAATCTTGAATCCGCTTTTTATTCGATGGGCGTATAATGAACCAAAATACATTCAAGAGTACTTGAAAAAATGGTTAAATGAGGGAGGAAAAGAATGTTACTTCGCACCATTTCTCTGTTCGTAAGTATTTTTGTAATTGATGTTTATGTATTCTATATTTAGTTTTATTTTAGAAAATACTAATAATATATATGCTCATGTTTATTCAGTTGTCATTATTAATTGATCATAATATCATTTAAGACGAACACGATAACTGTATTGTGTTCCTTACATGATCCACTCAACAAGAAAATGAACGAGATTATTAATTCGTAAGTGTATATTTAATTCATTTTCTTTGATATTGTAAATAGTTTAGCATGTAATATGTTTAATTTATATTCAATATACAATGTTGTGGACACTACGCCAAAAAAGACCTAAGAAAACGTTTTTTTTTGCCCTTTAGCAGCACTTAAAAGCGCTGCCTATGGTGGCGCTGCCGTAGGTATAGACAACGCTTTTTTTATGCAAAAGCACTGCCATATGTATTCTTTAGCAGCGCTTTTCCCTGAAAAAGCGCTTTCTAAGGCAGGCCTCTAGCAGTTCTTTTTTCATGAGATAAGGTATATATGTCATAATATGTTTACATATATTAATATATAAGTTGACATATATTATAAACACTTTTTTGCTCTTTCTTATGTAGATGTTTAACGACGTAACTCCATTTCCCGTTGAGGACTTTGTTGATCTTCATAAATGTTAGGCGTATATCCATAATGTGCTTAAGGGTCCTGCTATTTGATTTATTGAGATGTGCTAATGACTTATTAATTTTTGTATATGATGATGTGAATATTACTTTTGACTTAAACATATTGTCTTTGATGTAAATATTAATCTTGACTTTTGATGCACAATATTAGATGTCTTTTATGCTCTTTCTGCATGGTTAACAAAAATACGGGTTGTTGTAAATTATCTGATGGTTATAATAGTTACAGGATAAAAAATGGGAAGAATTTGAGAAGCAGAGAATTGCAAATTTAAAAAAGAGGAAGTTTTGACTGCGGTTATAAAACCTAATTGTGATTGTATATTAAACAGTAACCAAAATAATATAAATTATTTAATGTTGATGTTGAGAATTGAACCTGGGACCTTTAGTTCTATCACAATGGTTGGGTTAAAGAACCGTTGTGATATGGCACGTGCTTTCTAGAATACAACAACGGTCTCATGACCGTGATTGTAAGCACCACATATACAATCACACGTTACATAACAACGTCTAGTCCCGCGTGATTATATATATTCCCTAATTGTTGTTAAATAGGTTTTCCATAGTAGTGAAGTCGATTACTCAATAAATAAAAAAGTTAAAAATAAATATCAAAAATTAAAAGGCCGACAATGACCAGAGAGAAACATGTATCATCCATAGTCTCTTATAATCTGGTTCACTAAACTACCATCAAACGCCACCAAAACAAACTTTCACATAACAAGAAAACTTCCTCAAAACATC